TGACGGATACGAAAAGCATCACATATGGACTCGAGACTCTTAAGTTTTATTGTTATTAGAAGAGATAGTAGCCGCTGGTAGTTCTTCTAATTCCTCCTTCGTTTACGTTTAGTGTAAAGTGAGCTTTCAAATTGAAATAAATGTCAAACTTCTAAGCTTAATGTGCCATTCTGCAGGAATAAGCCACCTTCGTTACATCACCGTTCCGTATTTATTAGCACATATGCTCACCAACCCTTCCCTTTCCGTCCTCTCTGAGTCGGGGAATCGGTGCCCGACTTGTCTACGACGATAACAGCACTGTTTTTCACATGTCGGTAGGCCACCAAAAGTCGTTAAATAGGCTAGGTATGCCATTTACTGACCTCTAACCATGCTAGGTGAAGTTGAGTGCACACCGTTATCCCGTAGGGATTGGTCAATACCGAAGGGATCATCGTTTCATCGTCTTACTATTAGCACGTAGGTGTGGGTGTGAGTATGCTATCTTAGTACTAGATTAATGAAGAGAGCGTGTTGTTAATCAAAAATGAATGTCTGAACCGATTTTCTTGCTTGAATACTTTTATCGCCCTCTCGTTCAACCAGTAGATAGTAAGAAGATTCTGTGAAGATTTTATTTGATAGCATCTCCTGAAGTGGTCATTTGTTGCTTCTAAATACGTTAGATTCGTGGCGGCGTTGCTGTCCGTCGTAGTTTCTGTGGCTTTCCTCTATTGATATTCAAGGCGCACTTTATTTTATTACGGTATCTTACCATTGAAATTACACTGAATTGAAGAAGCAGTTGATAGCATTGAAAGAAATTTCGTCTCAACGAATCTTATGGAAGCTTTCACGATAATTCTCTATATTCTTCTTGAGGAAACACGACGTGTTATTATATTCTTTATTCAAGAGCAAGCTGACGTTTCGGCGGATTTCGCTTTCCTCAGAGCTTGGAAAGGTTAAGTTGACGACAATCTACCCAACCAAACACTTCCATAGCCAAACAGGGAAAATGCGAGACCACGACTTCAATCACATTGAACACAGAATAGATTCGTCGTACACTCACCGCTTTCTGTGAGTCTTCCACTTCAGCTTCCAGTCGCTTTCAGGATAATTTTTTGTTGATAAAGGTTAGAGCTATCTCAGAAGAGTTCTATTCTGGCTATTGGAATAAACAAAGCTTTTTTTTTCCAAAGCTCTGCTTCAGTTATTATGTTGTCGGTCTCTATGATGCATTGGCGTGACAATTACTCTGTTTGTTAATTATAAACCAACGAAGGAGCAGTTGTGTATTCAAAGAACTTGTCGTTTTCTGCTCCGAAATTTGCAAAATTTAGAGAGTTTTCTCGTGAATCGCTGGTGATAGTCTTCTAGCGTCTCACTGCTGTTTTTCTTTACCTTAACCCGTATTTTCTGAGTTTCTATAGACTGTATTTCATAGCTTTATTAATTTGTTCAAGAAGAATGTAAATGAATTTCTTAGCGAGTTCCTTTTAAATTACTGGTATTTCCTGCCAACTATGTGTCCCAATACTAACCGTCCCTTCCACCCCTGGTATGTTTAGGAAGATTGTCCATTTGGTGGAAAGATTAGTTTTAAATAAAATGAATTTATGATCAATTTGAAGGAGAAAATTGTTAATGTTTTGAAGGTACAATCGCTGAAACTTGCAAAGGTAAAGATAGGTAGGCTTAATAGAGGGAGAGTCGGAGTGTTTCTAGACCGAAGATCTTGGTATGGCTTCATCTATGCTATCAAATTTCTATAAACATTTTGCCACGATATCAACCGATAATATATTGGTAGGCGAATCTTTCAAGGCTTCTGTTTTTATTTCTTTTAGGTAAGTGGAAAAAGCTCGTTTAAAGGTAGTGTTGATATTTTCGTGAGTCTATTATCAAATGTAATTCATTGGAATCAAGCTGAATTTGTTCAGTCCTTCGTCAGCTCTATCTGAGCCATGATGTTGTGCTCTTTCGTCTCTGTTGTTGCCTCCGCCACTGACAGTTGTTGACAAGTTTTGAAATAGTGCTTTGTGCTTGGCTGTGATTGCCATTTTTGCTAAGCCGATAACTTTATCCATAAACTCTTAATTTGCTCATTTACTGAAAGAATTACAGGCTGTTTGCAACTCATTCTCTTGCAGCCATTGTTGAAGTCACTGATAATCATCGTCTGTTATCTAATTGAATAATGGATATTGCATTTATTTGAAACGTTATGTGCAGATGTTAGTTTCGTAGAAAGTACATACACAGTTACAAGTAGCTACTAGGTTTTTGCTATTAATCCTGGCGCAATGACTTGACTCTTGTAGGAGTCGTTCTTGCTTCAAGGTTCATACTTCGAGCATCAAAGCAAATGAACAATCGGAATTTCTTAAGCTCTGTCACTGAAAATTACAGCAATCAACCATCAGCATCCTGAATAAAAGAGCATCACTGAGTGAGAGTATGCCTTATTCGAGAGATGGTGCGCTGAGGAAGACACAACTCGATACGAAGGCGAAGACGCCATATCGAGACAAAGACGAACCCTAAACTCGGATCGTCGGCTCTGATGGAAACGAAGACGTTGAAATGTTAACCGAATAAAACTGTTTATCAACCTCGTGTAAGTTTATCGAAGAAAGAATACAAATCAGGATTTCGACCACCATAACGCGATATTCTCGGGCATTCACGTTTATGTGCACTCCTGCCGCTTTTGAGTTAAAAATTTCAAATACTTGTATGTTTACAGTTTTGCTTGTTCGCAGTCCTGTTTCTAGCCATATTTAGATTTGAAAGAACAGTGTGGAATCATTTCATGTGGGGTTAGTACGGTAGAGAAAATTCTCCTTTATAAGTCTACGTAGCCTTGAGTTCATGAAATACTCTAATGGTCGAGAAATTATCATCAAATATCGAAAAACCAGCTTCGTCTCGAAAGAGTTAAGAATAATGAATGCGTAAGCTTTGAAAGAGAGAAGTTATAAGAAACAGGTGAAAAAATAAATCTCATTTGCTAATAAGTGATTCCATTCTAATTCATTGCTTTTGACGACATAAACTGTTAAATAACGATTCGAATTCAATCGTTACACTAGAGCTTTCCGGCGTTTCTTTTCATTCGAACTACTGGAATGAATCACTGCTGTTTGTTTCATCTATTAAATGTCAAATGACTAATGACGTTCGTTCACAGTGTGAATAAGCATTCAGTGATACACTTAGTGCCTCCTGGAAGGAAATACTAGTGTGCTCATCTTTGTGAAGAGCTGAGTGTTCTTTATTAGTTTGTCGACGGTTGCATCAGTCTTGTTGCAGATGTGTCGTTTTTCTTCTGATTGTTTATTTTATTTGTTCTATGTTCCTAGGTTTTTTTTCTTAAAAATGTTCTCATGTTAAGGCGAGAAAAATAAACACGAGCAGAGTACATCGAGTGTTCAGTTCAGTTGTAAAGGCGAGAGTAAGTGTGGTCACAATTTACCCGTTTTTCTTCTACAACTTGAGCATTTGTGCTTTGCAAACGTGAAGATGGATAGTCGACGTAATTTCTCCACTCTCTTCCCAGCTGTTTCCTCTGTAATTCGCGTAGTTGCACTTCTTTTTGTTTGAATAATATATGATCATATATATTGGTGTTTTAGTTACGATATGTATCCCTCGTAAATCATGATGTTCATCTTGTTAGTTTTTTGACAGCCGTATGCGATTTCAAATGCTCTGTTATTCAAATGTTTTGCTAGGTGGTAGTCATCCGTACTACGCATTGCTAAGAAGTTGCCGTATGTCTAGTAATCTCTCGTTAAGTAACGCTTCAGTTCTGGACATCAGACAGAAGACAAATATCTGGTTTTATTCGCTTCTGGGGGTCGATGACGTGTAGCGCGCATGAGGAGGCGGAGTTTAGAGCTTCATAAAGTTGGGAAGACTGACTGGAGGCAATTGCGGCTCATTTACTGATGACAGACTCTTCAGCGTACCAGTTTTCTCTTTTCTGTCATTATCGGAGTAAAATCATTGTTATTGGAACTCATAATCATGTTTTTCAACATTGTGTGACACGATCACTGGACTACATGATGGGTTGTTTTTTTCTCTTACAACCTCAGATCCAGTTTTGCTAACTAAACTGGCTTTTTATTCGCAAATTCTGATAGAAAATATATGAAATGACTCTGCCTTTTAAACTTTGCCTATTCTCTAAGTTATGTTGCGACCTGTTCTTTACGGAACAGTTGTGCTATTGAGATGAGAGTTTGGAATTTTGACTAATTCTTGTGCAACGTATTTTTCAAATCAACTGGAAGATATTTCATTAGTTCTATCCTATGCTATTTTCTCATCTGTGGGCGGTGGTAGGGAATACTTGCGATGCATTTATGGCACATGTCACATTCCATGAAAATATGATGAAGCTCGTGACCATTGTCGATTTTCGTAGAATTTACTCATTATCATATTATGAGAACGTCAATGTAATTCAAGTTCCGTTTCCGTGATTTTTTAACCATTGATTGTTTCGTTCCGTACAGCCGGTGGCGAAACGCTATAAGCAGTTGTTTCGTCGCTCGTTGCTAAACTGTCGACAGTTCCAATGAACTGCTCATAGTGTTTGTCGCTTTCGCTTTTTTTGCAAATACTCTAAAGTCTATCGCGATCACATTCTCATAGTCTGTGTATGTTTACAGTTTTTTTCATCGCTCGTCTTTGAGAATAGTTCGGAATTCGACGGACTTTCTTTCCGCTTGTCGACAACAAAACGGCCTGATCTCATTCTTTATTTTCTGTCCGCTTCCCTCTATCCACATAGAAGGCGGCTAATAGCGGATGGCCCTTATTCAAACACTATCATTGGGATTTCTCTTCGCTTGTTACCTAGATCAGTACTATTGCTGTATTACTTGCATTTCATCAACAATTTGGCGTAGTTATTCGTGAAATGGCTCTTTTTTCCCGTATTTAGCGGATCTGTCTGATTGTTGTCATGCGCGCGTAGTTCGATTGTTAAGGCGAATGACGTGATGGCGTCTTATTGTGCGGCCCGTCTTGGACCTCCACCGTCGTTCCCATCCAGTAGCTGTATGCAGGATAGCGACTGTGGAAGCAGGTTTCCCTTTCCCATTCTCTATTCGCTGTTCTATTTCGAAAAACGAGAAAACAAAAATCGCATTTTATGACAACATATAAACATAAAAAGGAATAATGTGTATAATATAGTTTGCAAATCGAAATCCGATGATGATTTAATATTGTTGACATTCTCTACTCCCATCTATAATGTTTGAGGTTTCTGTACAATTGAGTTATTAACAAAATTTCCAAGTTGGCATACGAAACGGCGAACAATGCGAAGAAGAGAATTAAAGAGAAAAAATTGTCATCATTAATGGTCCGTATATGACGTGAGAATGAATACGTAGGCGAGAGCTGGCAAAAAAAAGAAGTGAAGTGTCTCCGTCCGTGTAAATGCTCAGTCTAACCCATTAGAAAGTCATTCTTCTCTTTTTCTCTTCTAAACCTAAATCGACCTAATTTGATGTGAAGAAGTGATGTTTTCTTTTTATTTAATGGCTTGTGGAACTTAAATGTTACCACTAATTTGCATCTCAATTATTAGGCTAAAGAACGCACGCACTGTAGTTAAAATTTTCCACTAATAAGAGGGAGCGATGGTGCTCTTAGCGTTTCTGATCGAATGATGTTTATTTATGCTACTATTGATCGTTTTTCATTTAATAATGCCACTATTTTATTAGGGTAACATGTGGATTAGTGGTTAGAGGTATCCTGCAACACAAAAGCGGTCATTGATTCAATCCCGCGCGCTTGGCAAACAAGGCTCGTCATCTTTCGCTGTTAGACAAATTGTTACCAGACTACCAGAATGGAATAGAAAAGCCCTGTTATTTCATCAGTGGGCTGCCGGAAGTCATTCATAGAATGTCATATAGAAACGTGCAGCTAGCAACTACGAAGCTACGTGTGGAGTCAAAGGCGTGAACTTACCGATGGATGATAACTTTGATGAAAGCCGAATGCTTTATTCTTTGTGTTTTTTAAACGTTCTGGTTGTAAATACATGTCGTTTAGAATGTTTTAACTTTTTTCACATTGATTTTTTAAAGAAATGCATTCCTCTCTATGAATTTTGCTTTAATGCTCCGGAAGCGTCATTTCACTATCATCGCATTTCAACTAATTGCTTGGAGACTAGGAAACAACTTCTGGAATACATTTTTGCTAAAGAATCTCGAGTCTTCTATGTGATGAGGATCTTTACAATTATCAGTAATGTGGTGAAAGATCGTCATCGGGCGAAATAACGATTTCCTTGTTATATCAAGTTCTTTTTTTCTTTATTTTTCGAAACTCTTTTAAAAAATCCTAGTGCCTTCGTACCACCTTTTACAAGTTGTATGTATTATATTTCGATTCCTCCTGTATTACCGCAACCTGTTCCTAGAATGGGTTAAGGCCAAAGTTTTATAGTGTTGCTAACTACCTGCCTAATGTCATAAACATTAAAAGAACTAGAACGAGATATTGATAATATTTTAACATTCCGGTATTAACGTATATCCATTTGTCCCGCAATAATAGAAAAAAGGAGAAAATCGCAAAATCGGAACCAGTTATTTATTATTCACATTAATACAACTATTAGTGCCGAGAATTACTACTGGTAAAGTTTTGCATGAATTCTAGCTACTTAAGTGAGTGCTATCATTGAGTGATTTGTAACTGTTTAATATATATTCATAGTCTTATTTTTCAGCTCAGGGTTAGGCGGGATGAAGACGCAAGAATTAGTTTCGGACGAGGGTGGCAGTTCGTCATCTGAACAACCTGGATTTTTTGCACGTCCTAACGTTTTACCTTGTGGTCCACCATTAAACGGTGTTGCTGGGATGACGATGCCGACCTGGGTTCATCCTACACCTCCTGGGGCTCCGAACGATCTCTTTGTTCATATTCAAATGGGCGAAACATTGAACATTCTAGTTGGAAACGATGTACAAAATATTACTGGTAAGCGTTTAGTTAACCACTGGTTGGACAGTTCTGTAGTTAAGTGTAAGATTTTGACTAGTTAAGGCCCAGCTACCGTTCGTATGGTTGGCGAATGTGGAATGTCGCCATCGGCCCTTCCGATTCATGTACCCCCCGGCCACGTGATTCACCAAATCGTCGACGAACAAGTATGTTGAGCCTTCTTTCTGAAATTTGTCACAGTTTTGGAGACAATATTTCTCCTTATTCAGCTAATTTTCTGAAGTACTTGTATGTTTAAATATAATAGTTAAAGAAACACTTGCAAAGGATTTAAGCATCCTTTTAGCTTTGCATTCACGTCGATTGCGAACCTTCGGACAATTATCGTCTTTGGAACTGTTTTCGCAATATTCTTTTTCTCAGTAGATCACTGTTGGGACGACATTTTTATCCCATGTATTTTGGGCTTTTTCTCATCCTTATGACATGAGTTTGACAAATTTTGGGTTCACTTTCCGATTATATGGGAAGAAAAATAATATGGTATATAAAAGAATGATTGACCTGATATTTTCACTAGCAGTTCTTTTGAGGCATATTAGTAAAAATGCATTCTTTGGACTGATGTTATTATCTTCGAATCTCAGTAAACGGTGGACTACCGTTCTAAGACATTTTCAAACAGACATGAGATGAAGCCAATGTATATTACGTTGATGTGACGAAGTGGAGAATGAAATGCAGTAACGCATTTTATTAACTCAGTAATTTCGTTGAATTCCAAGCATGGAAAGAAAAGGAGTAGGTTGGAAAAGCCGTTGATTCGATTCAAAAAATATTTATTTATTAGTTGTTGTCATGCCTTATAAGCACCTTTATTGGTCGTAGTTGGAATCTAGAAAACTTTTGTTGTATGAAGGGTGATAAAAGTTACCAGTTTTATGAGTGATTTCCATCTGACTTAGAACACCCATTTTCACGTGTCGTGCGGGTCCGACTTCTTTCATTTGTGACGTTGTTCGCACCCGTCATCAATGGAGGTGTTCGTGTTCTTACAGCTTTGGTTGCGCTTTGAGGATCTGAAAGTTGATTTTGGCTGTGGATGTAACTGATTTATGCGTGTAGCGAGCACACCATAGTTTTGGCGGTCTTCCTTAAACCTTTGAAAATTATTTGATTTTTTGATGAAAATTATAGTGAATGTCATTTGGCAGTTTTTTATGAGAATGACGTCATTGGTCGGGATATCGGGCTGCTTGCAAATTAACATATTTGGTTGTGATCCACCTGTTCCACGAATCGGGCAGCCGACTGCATTTATTTTAACGTACACGTATTGACTCGTTTTTGTTAATGCAGCAGTAAAGACGTCACAGCACGTCATGGCGGGTGTTGCCCCACCCTCACATAATTTCTGTTGGGAAAAACACGAAACGTCACGATCACTTGCGATAAATTGTTAACCTTCATGTCGCCTTCAGTGGTAACCTTATTTTAGGAATGCAAATTACGAACAAACTCATTTTTTGAGTTTCCCGCACGCCATGGAGACTGTCTCTTACTATGCACGTATATTGCCAGAACACTCCACAGACGCCGATTTTCGCGCCCTTCTTGTAGCTGCAAATAGCATTAAATTCCATGTGGTCGTACTGTAGGAAAGAAAGACGAAGAAGACCAACATACGCCAACTAAACAACGGGACCCTTGTGATTGAGAAAAGGTCCCGTCACGAAATCTCGGCGGCGTAGGCTTTGTCGTCCACCCGTCCATTGTCCATCTCGTCGACTCAAAAGAGATCCTTTCCCCTCGCTTAGCCGCCCTACGTCTTCAATTGTCGCCTCATAAGAAGATCACTGTCATCAACTGCTACCCACCGGCTGACGCAGCTGGTGAGCACGAATTAAATGCATTCTGCTATCAGTTGGAGTAAGTTATCCGCAGTGATAGAGCATATCATAAAGTTGTTGTCGGAGACTTCAACGCTAGAATAGGAAAGGCCAACGAAAGAAGGTACAGGATCGTCTATTTTGGATTAAGAGAAAGAAAAGGAAATGGAAACCGTCTAGAAAACTCCTATCAGCAGCACGTCTCTTCCATGGAAGCTCGTTTTTCCAGAAGAAAGAAAGGCGCCGCTGGACATGGCAGTCTCCCAACGACATGACTCATGCGGAGATCGACCATATTCTGACTGACAAACAGAAGATGGTACCTACTTGACACATCTGTAGTCCCGTCATTCTGCACAGATTCCGATCACCGCCTTCTTCGCGCGAAGATTCGTTTCAGCCGCGAGCTGGAAACGAACTCTCTTCATCTACCAGAGAAAAAGCTCTAGCCGTACACGACGAGAACATTCTGGACGAAGTCCTATTCAAACGCAACTGGCAGATTAAAGAAGACCCAACTGAAGACTACGAGCTGCTTGTCGAAGGACTGAAAAGCCGTGCCGAATTCGTCCCAGTTCCTCAAGCGAGAAGATCGGATCGCATCTCCACCACTACTACGGAGTTGCTCGAAAAGAGAAGGAAACTGAAGTGTGATGCTACTGCAACACGTTTAACATGGCTAGTAATAAATGCCAGCTGCAGAAGAGCTTTGTAGGAAGCTCTGCAACGGTGCAAGCGGAAGAAAATATTGGAAGTAGCAGAGAAAAGAAGCAGTGTGAAAAAATGCCGTTGGGACTTGTGTGATTATAATATTCCGCTGTCACCCCTGATAAACGAAGATTTGATCGTCAAATCTTCCCGCTATGATATGGAATTAATAGCAGAAACGTTCTGCACCAACCTTTTTTGTTCCATGATCCCCGTTCCGGTGGCTAATATCCCCGTGGGAGTGAAACCACGTGGAGTTCTTCCGTCGGAGGTTCGAGTTGCCATTGAAAGCATGAAAACAGGCACAGCTCTAGAACCCGATAATATTACCGACGACTTCCTTAGAGCAAGAGACCATAATTTACATGTACTTCGCAGTTCATACGACAGACTACCTTCAAAGGGAAAATATGGAAGACCAGTGGAGGACGTCGCGAGCGGTCACCCTCTCCAAGAAAGGAGATCGAAGGGATCTTCGTAACTATCACACGGTGTGCTTGTTAAGTGTACTCTACAAGCTCTTCACGAAGATTATCCTCTCGCGCAAATCGAGGACATTGGATGAGGCGTAACCAGTCGAGCAAGCAGGATTTCGAAAACGATTTTGCTGCATGGAGCACATTCAAACCGTGTCCAAGGTTATAGAATTTTGTCGGAAATACCACTTGTCTCTAGTCCTAACCTTTGTCGACTATGAGAAAGCGTTTGACAGTGTGAAACGAATGCAATCCTATCAGCGCTCGTCGACCAAGAAGTGGACCCGTCCTACATAAGGACTCTGTCCGACTGTTATCGGAACTGCACTGCGAAAATACAGCTTTTCCATCGACCTCTTACAATACCCAGTGGAAAAGGGATTCGAAAGGGCGACACAATATCGCCAAAGCTGTTCAGTGCCGCACTGCAGTGGATAATAAGGTCACTCGATAAGGACAAGAAAGGCATACGTATTGATGGAAAATTCCTATCAAATCTTCGTTTTGCCGAATACACTGTCATCTTCTCAAGAAGTACTGGCGAAGCAGAGGTGATAATAAACGATCTCAACAAAGCGGAGAAATGGATTGGACTTCGCATAAATTGAAAGAAGGCCCAGTTCATGAAAAACCCATGGTGCGAAGGCGAAAAAATTGAATTGGATGGCTCTCTCATTTCAGAGTCTACCTCGTACATTTACCTTGGTCGATCAATAAACGTGGAAAACAACATGTAGGAGGAACTAGGTAGAAGAAAGAGAGCAGCTTGGGCCGCATTCAGGTCTCTCAAAGATGCCACCGACCAACTGAAGGACCCGAAAATCCGCGCTCATCTCTTCGATTCTACGGTCCTCCCAGTGCTCTGTTATGCTGCAGAGACGTGGGTTGATACTTCAACTACGTTAAGAATGATTCGCACTACTCACAGAGCGCTTGAGCGATGTCTTCTGAAATATACCCGCACTCTCAATATCTAGCCGGAATGGGAAGCTCTGACCTTCGAAATCTGTCACATCTTCGAGATCCAGGAGAATATACATCGACAGCGAAACATAGATGGGCCGGTCACATAATGAGGAGAACAGACGACAGACGGACGAAAAGAACCGTAGAGTGGACTCTAAAAGAATTCAAATGTTTTCTTGGACGATCACCTACACGTTGGGCGAACGTGTTTGTAAACAAAGTTAATAGCTGTACCCGCAGCTGCAGTTGTTTTACAGATCACGGTATGAGACTCGCAAGCGCTACCATGCTCGAACAAGACCACCACCATGGACTACGATTGCGAGAGAAAGGAACGAATGGCATATGTGCTGGGGTCCGCACAGCCCGTGAAGACGGACCGTCCAAGTATCCAAGTAAGTAAATAATTGCGAACATTTCATCAGTAGCAAGCACATTCAGAATGCAGTTGGCAACAACACATTGGGTTGTAGGGTGGACAGTTTATGCTGTGGAGCGAGATCGTTCACTATAAGTATTTCCGATTGCTGCTGCAAACATGAAGATTATGAAGCCTATCTCATTTTCTACATTTTTATTCAACGTCAGAGTAGCTTGCAGATTCATGTAAAAACGTTTAGTCCACACTTGCTTGGGTCTAGCATTCAAACCTTATCATTATGTAACAACCAATAGAAAATTCTGTCGTTCCTTCTTTTACCAAATACTTAGCGTTCGTTAGCACATTCGCGAGGGTAGACGTTGATATCAGTTCATATGTAGACGAAACTTGTTTAATCTTTCAGCTTTAGGATAATGTTCATGTTCAGCTTATAGAGTGTTTATAGTTTAACTGGAAGCAGATAGAATCGGAACATATCGTTTTGAAAGGAGTACAAGTTTTCTTATTTTACCATGATGAAATTCTAACGTTCTGTTGCTCAGGTATCATTTTTTTTGCTTTTTCGTCGGCGCTAGTATCTGAAGCCGCAAGGCAACTCAACAAGCCGGGCTTTGTATAGAAGGGCGCTGTTGTTCCTAGAACATGTCATTGATGTTCACGGCTATCCACAATCGTCAGATATTTAAAAAAAGATTTCGTTCCATTATTTTTTTCCAACTTTTGGATTAAACATTTGTTTTTGAATAGATTACATCTACTATTAATACAAGCGGGAGGAAGGAATATCTTCTATAAGCTTTTGAATTTCCTGAAGTACTCGAGATATCGAAAAATTATCGGCATTTATCGGAAAACCAGCATCGTCACGAATCGGTTGAACTTCGCCTGCTAAGTGGACTAATACGACGACGGCCAGTTCGTAAACCTGTTTATGATACGATCGAAATTTAGGCCTTAAAGTTGATGGTGTGGTTAAGCAAATATTTGATTGTGTGAGCAGCACGTCATTTTATTACTTTCGATTTAAATATGACGAGAGGAAACTACGCCGAAACGTCATCTTTTATAAAGTAAACGTATAACATCTTCTTAATGGCTGATATATTATGCAAGAAGCTATTAAATTCGAATCCCTGGGATAGAAAAACATTCTTACGGTCCGCTCTATTCGCTAATGTAGCATCGTTTTTGATAACACAGTCCCATTTGTCTCAACAATGAATGAAATAACTTTAGTTTTCATAGTTTTTCAGTGAACGTTTTTAAGTACTGAATATCAAGATATTTACTTTTCGAGAGGACTGGGAGTTTTCATATAAAAAAATCTGGAGAACAATTTCTTTGAGTACTTGTTGCTTCGAGCATTTATGTATCATCTTCTTAAGTTAGCACGGAAAAGTTTTAAAACCAGTAGATAGCGCCTGTTGGCCTCATAGAACTGAGCTAGAAGTGAAATTTTCCCTTGTAATATGGACTCTTCAAAAACACTTGAGTAAGTTGAAATAGAGGATTTAGGATGGATTTCTTTTCTAAAAACTATTGCAATTAGTTTAGTTATAAACAAATATTAGCTGCAAGATTTTCAGGGAATATTACGGCATCTGATCCTCTCACCAGAAACACCATCGCCACCTCGGTTCCCGCCACCAAACGCCGCAAGTCCGGTATGAGTTCCACATTTCTCAGATGTTTTCTTATCAGTTATAAATCAGGTGAACCAATACGTCCAATAATGTAATATCAGTTATTTCAGGTTGAACAATGTCTTTCTCTGTCACAAAAAAATGTTCCTAGTATTAGTAGTGGAATTTTTCCTTGAAAATATCTAGCATTATCTTCCTACTATCCTTTAGCTATAAATTTTAAAACAGTGGTCTTGGGGAACATACATAATTAAGTAGGTTGTTAGTATATATGATCAACATCGTGAGCTGTTAGACGGGTGAGGAAAATGTAGAGCCGATCTTAAGTACTTAGATAGGTACTATGGTCTTTACCCACAAGCTAAGCAGGTCTTAGCACTTCCTTTCGTTTCTTCATTCTCTTGCGACCGACTATCTCTTAAAAACCTCCCGTTTTCACCTTTCCTTATTGACATATTGAATGCTGGAGGAGAATGGCTTTCTTTGGAATTCATACATAGGCATACCAATCAGTTCCCAGATATTCATCTCAAGCAATCGCCGGCCGTTGTGAAAGAGAGTGGTTTGCTATCTTGTGACCAGGATTCTTTCACTGCAGCAGCGATTCCTCTGATTAATCGACCAACCGGTCGCAGACGTTGCAATAGGCCGAATCCAAAAATCAAATTGAAGAGATTTATTGCTTTACTGAGAATCGGGAAGTCCAGTCGTCTTATAGAGAAAAATAGTCTTTCTTGGCAAGAATTATAATTACATATAATAGAATGCTATGAAAACATTTGCTCATTTCCATAACCTTTTGTTGTTGCAAAACACATACTGTCATTGACAGTTTTTCACAACTTGTGATTGTGTTCATCACTTGTTACGTATCGAACAAGGGGTATTTATGTTACGATCTTACTGTTTTTTCAAAGAATTCTTGTGAATAAAAGTTTATTGTTCTAAGTGTGTGGGTCAGTAGATAGAAGGATTACCCACGAAAGGAAAGGCTATTGATTTAACTGCCTTGTTGTTCCATATCGGACATTCCCTTGAGAGTTATGATAGGTGTCTATGAATTATGTAGCATAAAAACCTACTATTTTAGAGCTTCATGTCATCGCGTATCGCCTCCTCACCTCCTCTAGCGGTGCCCCCATTCCATCCAGCTCTCTATACTGTAAATCGGAAATGGTCGCACAACGGGAAGATAACGATTCCGGACCTCGTACCCACCTCCTCATCTCGAAATGAAGAACAAGTTCGTGGAATTCATTTCAGTATGTTTATACATTTAATATCGATCAATTCCAGGAAACCGACATTGATGGTGAGGAATGGGATAAAGTCCGTGAAATGTTAGGGCGTATTTTTGCGCCACAAGTTGTGCGTGTCGGTCCAACTGATGCCGATATTGCTTGGCAACAACTCGATACTTCAGAGGTAGTGCACCCTTCTTTCCTTGTTATTTGTATATCTGTTTGTTCGCTTTTTTGTCGACAAATGTTTAGTGTTTTACATTGCGTCCCAACGGTTTACCCCCTCATCGTGGCTGGGAGGTGTTTCTGGGCGACAAGCTGCGATATGAAGTGGTGGGAATCATCCCCATGGCAAGGGCTCCCAAGCCGAGGAAAAGTCCGGCGTTTCCCTCAGCAAATCTAGTTGAGAGTAAACCAATACCAGGATCCGCCACCGTCCTGGTATTAAAGTAGTTGCGTGTTGGCAAATCTCTCTCTGGTCGACAAGGGCGGCGGCCGGCTGTGGTGGTGACGAACTGGGTAGCCTTTGGCCAGGCTGCTCTCGGGACTCCAGGGAAATACAATGGCTAAACCACCAAAACTCTAATAAAGAAGGTTATTTTGCTGGGGCCCACACAGCCAGTGTGCACGGGCCATCTAGCTGTCATTGGTTGGGTCCCTTTAACCTGTAATTTCGTTTATGTTACTGCAATGGTGCTATAAGACAGTAAATTTCCATCACTTTTAAAAGCAAACAAGATTGGAACAATTGAAAATAACGCAGCACTTAGACCGCTTTCCGTATTTGCATCCGATGTGAATTTTCTAAGCTGTTGAATTACACCATCGTTTAGGCTGCTGCGTCTGGTGGCCCATTTCCACAAATCGATGCGTCTGAATTCACATATCAAATCGTTTTATTTGAGAATCATGGTAGATTCGTCAGCACGTATCGGTAAGATTTACAATTACGTATCGAACAAGGGGTATTTATGTTACGATTTTACTGTTTTTCCAAAGAATTTTTGTGAATAAAAGTTTATTGTTTTAATCTGTTTAGGTGCGAGACAGAGACGGGCAATAAACTTCGTTTGTGTCAGCTTCGTCCTAATACGGACTATTATGTACAGTTAAAAGCTTGCCTTGAAGAACGTGGTTTAGTCGGAGAACCAAGTCAACCGGTCTGCTTTAAAACGGCTCCTGGACGACCGGAAGCTCCTCTAATGTTCAGGTGAAGATAAACTACACGTTTTATTCGAGCTAATCGTGTCCATGAGTTGTGAAAAAACCAAGGAACTACTAGGAGAACAGCAGAGAATCGCCTAAGAGCTATATGCGACGCGATTCTGATCGTTTAGGTGTGTTTCACGTGGAATCGAATATCTTGTCGTCGCTTGGCGGCCGCCTAACGACAACGGTGCCAGTATTGTGAACTATACAGTTTACCTCAGCAAGGTAATTGTTCTAGCACTTTCTTTTTCTTATTATTTTTTGTTATTGTTCCATTTCCATGTGCTTTAATCTTCCACACTTCGAACACTAATTTGGCATGGCACTCCGTTAGGTAAAAAAAAAGATGAAAAAGCTGGATAAGAGATAGGCAAAGCAAGGAACTCAATGATTCAGCGAGTAACACGTGAGCCAGGGTAATCGCAGATCGAATCTGGTCTGGGGTCCAAGTTCTGCAAAATATCTCAGCATCGTTGTAGCTGGATCGTCACTTTTTATTTACTACCCACTCTTTTTTAATGGCAGGGTACTATGTGAAATACAACGCGGTTGCGACCGAACACGCCATTACCTTTTCCCAGGGGCTAATGCGTTCACCATGCGAGTCATTCGTTTCGCTTTTCTCTCAGCCGTGTTATCAATCACCCATCAACCGGATTGATCTGGGAGCACAAATCGGCATTGAACCCAATTAAGCTAAATCTGTGGTATAAATCACAATGTCGTCACTTTCTATTGCTGATAGCACCTATAGATCAATAACATGGATGAGAGAAAGGTGAAACAAAGGACATGCATGGTGTGGTGGTGAACGCGTTAGCCCGTAGAAAAGGTAATGACGTGTTCGGTCCCTTCCGCAGACACCAACGGTCCAGAGTTTTACAGGTATCTCAGCATCATTGTGGTTGTATTTCACTTAACGCCCTGATGTTAAAGAATAATAAGCGATAAAAAAAGAGGTAAAAAAGTTAAGCACTAATTTAGCCTTCTGATGATGTCGGCGAGAAAGTTTGGGAGGGCCGATCGTGTGAAGCACGTATCACAAATCTTAGGCCGGCCACATCGTACAGGTACATTGGAGGCATTCCTCTTCTTTCTTCTTCCTGTTTTTTTTTTGCTATGTGCCATTATAGTGATTGTGAATCTGAAGTTAGGTTCAGTAGGCGAGGTGATTTGCAGGGAAATGAGATTTACTAAGAAACAACTGACCTAAACCTTGACTTCATTCTGAGAGTACTCAGCAAGTTTTTGAAAACGCTTAATAGTTAAGGTTTTTGAAGTGTGCTTATTAGACTTCGTGTTACGGCGGCAAATCGGATTGGTGAGAGTGCAGAGACGGCACCCATCGTCGTCACAACTCGAAGTGATTGCCCACCTTCAGCTCCGCCACCACCAAATGTCGTATCGGTGAACGCTCGTTGTGTGAAATTGTCATGGAGTAGTAGTCTCGAATGCACGTACTCTGTAAGCTCTTTACAGATAACTTACATGTATGCATAAGATTTATTCTAAAGAATCTGCAAGGATACAGTTATTCAGATCGAGATGCATGACATTGCAGCTGGCCCGAATGCTATAACAGTCGTGAAAGACCGAATTACCAGCACAAGCGCTCAAATCGTGGATTTGAAACCGTGAGTACACAAATCCTGCATCAACTACAGTACACTTATTTGTAACACAATTTTGTCCCACGTTAACCGTTGGGTGGAGTTTTGCTCTAGCTGAGTCTAGTAGAGCACTAATGACATATGCACGGTTTGATTGAAGAAAACAGTATTGCTATTGCTTTCAGTACTGACATAGTTTTTTCTGAGAACATGTTTTCGTTCAATTTCAGTGGATATGAATATCGTTTTCGTGTCATAGCCCACAACGCTGAAAGCGAATCACTGCGATCCGACTGGACCTACGTACGCATGACAGGCCGCGGAACACCTGATAGAATTCTCGAGCCAACAAAACCGCATGCTGTAGCTCGTGGTCGAAACAAGTTCGACGTGTCTTGGAAATGTCCTGGAGCGAAGTAAGTGGATGTTACTTCTGGTTTATATGTGGAACATTTAGTAAATTTGCATTTCAGGGATCGTGAGTTCACTTATGTGTTAGAGGGTTCTACTGCTAATCATCCAACACGTTTCCGTGTATTGTATCGAGGGCCACTCAGTACGCATACGATTACCGAAGAGGATATTGTTCATCTGCGTGTACAGACAGTTAATAGGAAAAATGTTGCGGTATGGTTGATTTTCAAAATACGTTTTTAAATGTGCGAAGTAGAAGAAACTACTGCATTAGTCATCTCGACTTTCTTCATGTACTGGGATCGTATTATGGTGAGAAAGTATCTTAACGCTTTCCGGTTATGAAGCTTTAAAGCTCTCGGCGTTGATCATTCTCTGAGGGATGCGCCATGCATTCGTCTTCACCAAGCATCGTTGGAGGTTATTAAATCTGGCTCTCACCATGACTCGTGATGGGCCCACCGATGTGTCGAGCAAGTGCCGCTATCCTCCCAGACAAGGCTGGTACCAATTTCCCAACCCCGAGGGGATGGAGGGCTTGGTGGGCCTCAGGCGCGGGAGTCGATCCCATGTGTGATGAAGTTTTAGTTAGTATAAACCGCAGGTTTATTTCGTAGGTGCATGTACGAGTGACTCTTTTAAATCGCTTCTTTATAGAGCGACTTTTCTGAAGTGGTCACGTTGGTTCGTGAGCCGGAGTTAGTAATTACGAAGCCACCACAACTAACATCGCCAGTCATCGAAGGTTGTGGAAAAGGTGCGGTACGCTTCACCTGGAGCGTACCGAAGATTGTGGTGAGGTCTTTCTATCTATAAGCAGCCTTTAAAGCGCATCACGATTCGTTAATTTACACAACGTACCCATGTTTTGTTCACTTCATAGCGAAGTTCCTTAATTACGTTTTACAACAGTGGTTTTAGATTCCACCAACAGCTACTCTGATGTTTGAGTTGCGGCGAATTGATGACAAGAGCCAAATCGTGTATTCTGGATCTGAACCTCATTGTCGTCTGGAAGGGTTGTCCAGCCGACAGCACATCGAGGTTCAGGTGAGATTATAAGTCCTTTAACCGTCGAACTACTCAAGGTGGCACCAATAGAGTTTCCATCCTTTCCTTGGACGAACTTAGAGAGTGCATCAAACTCTAGTTGATAGGAGAACTCTTAGAATTACGCTTTGCATATAAGGTTGTTTATTTCTGACGTATATTTGCTAACGGAGCACCCATTATTAGCATAGTAGAGTTTGACGTGTGTAACTGCTCGTAATCATTTATTGTTCATGTTCATTGGGCTGTTCTGATTACTGGTGAACTGTGTGCTCTTGGATTTTAAGCATTTTAAGCCGACCTATGATAGTTTATATGAAAAGCGAGTTTGCATGATGCAGTGAAGTTCGCATTGAATAAACATTTGAAGCTCTATTATGCATTAAATTGTCATTTCAATGTAACGTAACTACAGGTTCGCGCTGTTGTGATAGCCCAGGATGGGTCGCGATATGAAGGGTGTTGGAGTTCTGTGACTGGTGGGAACGCTCCTCGTGACGCTCCATGCACTCCGGCAGATGTAACGATTAACAGTGAAAGGTACTTGTAGATGTGAAATCATATTTGTACAAGTGTGAATGAATTGCTGAACCGCTTCCCGAGAAATGGGAGCTGATAAGGGTTTGACAAGTCTTAGGTCGGCTAATAATCAGAGCTTCTTATTAATGATGACTGTCCTAGTCGAATAAATGTGCAGATGTCAGCACTTTTGAATGAATGAATTTTGCCGCCTTGTTACTAGGATTCCTTCAAGACCGGGAGATCCTTGCATTAGTTCATTATTAATTGAGCTTTCGGATTTAAATGTCGAATTGGTTTTTATCGGATGATCTTGCTCAGGAACTCCCCGCAGGACATTACATGATCGCACCCTGGAACTTTCCTCTGGCATGTAAGGCAGTATGAGAAGGGGAAAGGGTCTAAAAATTAATGTACGTGAATCATTGAGAAAGGCACGTTGTTGGAAAGGGTTTTCAGTACTTTTTAAGTCTTGTGCAAGAAATGTCTCAAATCCTCAGGTCCTGTTTAAGACGATGGTACGTTTCAATATCAGTATATATCAAAATCGTTTTTTAGAACGATGTTAACGTGGAAAACAGTAGACCCTTCACCAGACATTCGTTTTCGCGTGCACTGTAGCCAAGTGGTAGCTGGGCATGAAATGGAGGAAACTGTCAGTGAGACAGGCGAATGTCAGTACTCGTTAGCGCTGCTCGAACACGCCAAACAGTTTGTGTGCCGGGTTTGTTTATTCTTACACCTTTTATTTTATTTGTTTTTTTAATTCAAGTTATTCATGCATCTTTTCCTTTTGGCTTTAGTTTCCGTCCTTTTACTTATGCAGCTGATCTGGTGAGTAGTGGTACGTTGAGTGGCCTATAGTGCTTATATGCCTTAGAGTAGCGTCCAGACTAACTGAGATTTTTTCACTAGTTATTGCTACCCGTTTTTTCCTAGAACCAGTAGTAAAAACTGAAATATTTCCAGTGCTTTAAGCAAAAGAAATATCAAAATAATGCTGCTAGAAAACTAACTGAGAGAAAGGCGAAACGAAGGATGGGCATGGTGTGGTGGTTAACGTGTTGTCTCCCTGGAAGGGTAATAGCTTGTTCGATCCTCACTCCAGACGCCTGCCGTTTAGAGTTTTGCAGATAACTCAGCATCATTGCGGTTAAATTTCGCATAATGCCCCACCGTGAAAGTTGTAATAGGCAGTAAATAAAAAAGTTAACGTATCAAAATAATGTAATCATTCTGAAATGGATTTCTCGGCGTGCGGTCTTTTCAAAGTGGCCACCTTCGGTTTTCCACTATTTGATTTTCCATTTCCAGTGTTCTTGAAAATTTTAGTAGGGCTACTAGTACTACTAAATAATCTAACCATTTGACATTATGCTTACTGAAGCTGTGCATTTCTGCTCTAACTCTCCACTTACCCCTTTTTTGTCCACACGCTATCGTTCACTGTCTGACCTCATCCAGTGATTTTTTTTTGAAGGTGTCTGCTTTCCATGATGGTGGAGAGTCACCACTTTCGAAACCTCTGATTTTCACCACACGCAGTGGAGCACCAGCACAACCTGAAGGTAACCCTGTTGATAATTGCGTACTTCCCTTGCTGTTAAAGTAATTCTCGAAGAAAAGTAGGTGTTTACCTATAAAGTGGAGTCCTATAGTATCTCGGCAGAGAAAGTGCTTGTAACTTCATGAACGTGATCTATTAATTTCTTTTTTATACACATTGATTCTTTTCAATACAGGGAACCGTAAATTTCTCCATAATTGGTACTCATACTGGAAGACATTTTTTGGTGAGAATTTGTAGTCCTGAGGAACTATTAATTGTTTAGAACAATTTTTTATAAGTGGACTTTGTACTTCACTGTCCTATTCAATTTTGAGTCAGTTTTCAAGAATTTGTATGACTTCAGGTGTTACAATCGAGTCGGACGGTACCCGAGCCTTGTTGCTTCGCTGGTCCGTTCCTGACTGTCGGGGTTCTCCAATTACACAATACCTTCTTCGCGTTGAAACGAAAAGCGAAGTTCGTTTTTTTGTTTTCCTAAATCTAAAATGTCATATGAGTGCCTGATTGTTATTCCATAGAACCATTGCTTTTTTTCGTAGATGATTCGCGAGGTATTCATTGTACCACCGGCAATTTTTGGTCCATGCGAGTATCGTATAGCGGATCTTCAAGCGGACACTGACTACAGGGTTGAACTATCTGCCGAAAATGTTATTGGTTGTGGTATTGCAGCTGCGATCACTGGAAGGACACGTCCTCCTCCGCCAGATCCACCAAAGTCCGTTGTATTTCTTTCTTTCAAAAATTGGCAACGTTTTATCCATGCCACAAGTGGCGCTCACTGCTGCTGTAATTGTACCAGTTTCGCCAGTTTCGTTTCCCAACATGATTTCCTCCACTTTAGGATTGAATGCGAATGTGATGCCACTAGTCTCCGACTGCGTTGGAAGCCGTGCTCAACGCACAGTCTTCTTACTTACAAGTATATGATTACTTGGGAAATGATTTTTTTGTTTGAATTAGGCAATAATTTCTACTGTGGCAGAGTAATTCGACTTGGTGAATGTGACAAGGTGATTTCGGTTTACGAAGGCGACATGTGCAGTACCCGAATCAAGGGACTCACTGAAAATACTGAGTACCGATTTCAGATCAGGAGTATAGATCGGTGTGCTGATATTCTTATTCAAAGGTTTTAATAAAAAAAGTAGTACGCTTGTTAATAAAATCTTTATAGCCACACTGGAGTTGGACCTTGGTCTTCAGTGTTCACGTTCCGTACAGCACTCAGTCCACCACCGGCTATAAAAGGGCCGCCGACAGCAACCCCAAGCGGTTATTCGCTTAGGACAATTACTCTAAGAATTCTCTATTTATTACCATACACTTTAGGCGATGGTTACTACCAGCTCGAATGGTCTTCGGTCATTGTGAAACCTAACACCAAAAAATGTTTCTACCGTCTGCAGGTCGTCGACTGTTCCATTGATAACGCGAAATGGATGACGGTTAGTGATTTCATACTACTATAAATAACGACAATAGTAGTAATATTTTGGGTATATGTAAAAGAGCGGAATTTGTAGGTAGAAATCACCTTAAACGTTCGTAGTTTTTTTGTTTTTTTAAGGTTTATGAGGGGACATTGCCTTCGTGCACGTTGCGTCTTTCTGACTATCCATCTGCAGTTCAAGCTCGTGTAATTTGTGTTAGACCAGAAGGCAACAACGAGATCTCTTCACCTCCTAGTCCAATTGTGTACATGGCGAATCTTCCCTTGGACAACGAGGTTCAGGTATGATTTCAAATTTTCACTTATTTCACTATGTGTGGGCAAGTTAGGGTAGCATCTTGTTTTGGATATGTGGAGAGCAATATCTATTATTTAGAATCTTAAAATGGTGTAGACTGTCACCTTTATAGATTGTATGGGTGAGTAATTAAGTGTATGGCTTGCTTAAATGCAAGAGCTAGCTTTTTTGCAGTTGATCCAGGAGAAGAAAGCTGACACTATTCCGGTTGTGCGCTGGTGGACAATGCAGTGTAGTCTCACTACCATTATGGTGGTATGTTTATAAACAGCTTCTAACCAACTTATTTACAATATTAGAAGAGTGCCTTTTTAATATTTTTTTTACAGGTGCTCTTCATTGTGATTTCATTTACAATGGCCCTATTTTTTGACTCTATGTTCAATTTGTATGTGCCACCGAATGCGGCATTACAAAGTGGACGGGAACAGAGCTCGGAACCTCTAGAGTCATCCCGCAGAACTCATTAGGGTATAAGAAATCATTTGTTCTATCATATATACATTTATTTTATGGTATATTCCGGAATTCTTTTCCACATTGCTTTGATTCCACTGTGATCTTTCCTATTTTTCTTCACCATTCAGTATTACAATCATGACCAATTATAGATGACGCATTTTTTCTTTTTTTTCTTCTGGCGAGACTGGACTATAAAGTATAGCTTTTTTAAAATTCTCCTCTATCTTTCTTTGAAACGCTAAGCGCAACACTGTAATTTATGAGTGGCACATTTCCGTTTAATTATTAATTTATTTCCGACTCATACTTCACATATTCATAACCTAAGGGATACCTTATCGCTTTTAGTGGTGCTTAAAATTGGTAATACTGATTCGTTTGAAAAATCTAACATTCTTAACTCTCAGTTGTTTTTTTTGTGTCTGTACATATGCAATTAGTTTCAATTCATTTAGAGCCTATTTTCTCGAGTGTTTTCACGCCTTTCTTTACCGAGTGACTTCTCATCAGTATCGTCTCTCTATCTCGTTTATTTTTCCGTTTTTTTCTTTCCGTTGTTTCTTTTTTTTCCTTCGAATCCATTTCTTCTGTTATCAGACTCTCACACTTTCAGTCGTGTCGCATTTGTATAACATTTCATAAAATCTCTCTCTAGTGCACATCCCATCTTCTTTTCGGTTCGGTTTGGTTCGGTTCGTGCACATCGTTTGTTTTCAGTGGTCAATCATAACATATTTTTATATTGTGATGTTCTATCAACCTATTGCCTTCTCTAAAAGATGTTCATTATTGCACAGTATAGATTATAATTTCGGGGGAACTATAGCATTTCCCAGATTTGTTGTGCTATTCATATTGTTCAGGATCATCGTTTATGTCCCTACTAAGGTACTGACCAGAACACTGGTTTAAGTTCTGTTCTCATTTTAGGACATATTTTACCCACGACTATCCTACTCGCTTACGGTTACAAATCGCCAGCTCCTGTTGTTGCGGTCGCGATTATAATTTGGAAAAATTTAGCAGAAACATAGAAAGACCACTTAGTGACATAAGCGTTGATTCTATGTTCTTTTGTTTTTTCTTCGCTTAACCGACTTTATATTTATTTTCCGTGGTCGGATTTATTGCTCAAGAAACCGAGCGGTACGTATTAAGTCTAATTCTTAATTCCAGTATTTACAAAATGTGCTTGGGAGTAAAAACCGACTAACTCCGACCACTATGTTTACTAGTTTTTTATTTCACAGTATCTTCATCGTACAAACGGACGTGATGTCTCTGTGATTCTATCTAGTTCTATTCCAAGTCTTATAGAAATTGCAAAATGTGATGTTTATTGGTGGAACACATTACTATATGCATACGTAACTGTTAATGTTTGCAGTAAAATAAGAAGTGATAAGCTAGTTGTTCTCATTCATTCGTTTGTATTTGTAATGAGATTGATCGCAACTAAGCCTATCATTCATCCGAAGATTTCAATTTATGAAACGATTTTTTGGGGAATGTTTTTATACTACGGCATGGTGATTTTTTCTTTGAAGCACAAATTTTTTTTACACTTGAGCCAAATTAGAAATTTTAGCATTCTGATCTGCGGTTTATCTATTTCTCTCGTGATGATAAAGTATGTTGCTTTCATGCTGAGTTGTTTAGTGTGAATGGTGAAGCGATACATATTGTTTGAAATCTTCACTAAATCATAAGGCGAAAACCTGAAGGAAATATCTAGTGGTTCCTTACTCAGGGTACAGATTTCAAATCTGTTATTCGTGAAATTCGGAGGGAGCGGATAGCACAGTGGTAGTGATATCCGCCATCACAAGCAAGGTGCTAGTTCGATTCCGCTTCAAGCCAACCAAGCTCATCCTTCCCGGGTCGGGAAATTAGGTACAGGACTTGTGTGGAAAATGGAGGGAATCACTCTCCGCAATCCAATTGGTAACGCTCCAGCCAGGCTATCTCAGGACTCCAGGGAGAACTACTCGACCAGCATTCTACCGCATTCAAGATGAAATGAAAAATCCTCAGGCAGCAACCGAAGCCACACTTAAAAAGCCGGAAAACCTTTGTGGACAATGGATACGAGGAAACGGATAGAATGTGAGAAGTGCTGGGATCCGCGCAGTAGACGTGAAGGCGGGTCATATAAAATAAATAGAAATATGAAAAAATATCCGTGAAATAGAAGCATGACCACGGTTGCAGCTTGGCAATAGTGAATATTCTATCTTACTCCTTAAAGTCTGCAAATAAATTCAGTCCCTCAACTATTTTAATGAGGAAACTTGGTTTCTTCAAAGACTTTCTTGTGTGGGTTGAATGAACAACGTTCTCATTGCCATCATCATCTCACTCACTTAACGTTGAGATGAAAATTAAGCAGCAGTTTGTCTGTAGAACTCAACCAGTGCTTCAGTATTCGGAAATGTTCATGCGTTCGGGGCTGTGGTAATATTTTGGTGAAGACGCAGCAATGTATTGGTGGAAGATGAACCATTAGTGTTTTCGTTATTCTATTACACATAGACATTTAATAATTCTCGCTCTCTTGTCTGTCGGTTGTAGGATTATGAGGTTGTGTACAAAAAGCTCTTAGGAGTAGTTTCAGAATACATTAACTACTGAGTCCTTTGTTGTGTAACAGATTTTCTCACGATTTCCTTCGTTCTAAGGACATGGCATATAGATGATACATAGCAAGTTCGGGTTTGAACTGCTTTTAGAGAACTCTGTCTCGTATTATTATTTGTCCTTTTACACATAAATCGACTAATTTTTTAACCGACAAGGCTTTCGAGTGCGGTTTTTATGATTGGCATGGATTTTCTAGTGCGCCTTTTCGTACTCAAATCCAGATAGAGTTCCGCGGCATACATCAGATTAATGAGCCTGACGTTCTGAATTAACATTTGCGCTTTTGTCGTTCACAATGTGATTGTATCAGGGCAAGTTTGAAATCCTGTGATTATTATTAAATTGAAAGAAGGGAGAGATTTTATCTAATGACGCTTAATAATATCACCATCATTAAATAAATGTTACAGTGGGTACAATTATGTCTAATTTTGCCTGACCATAGGAATTGCAACGCCATTCTAAATTCCAGAATACCGAATCCACAACAGATTTAGTAGAATTCACATGAAATGACTGGAGAAAAAACTCATTCCTTCGTAAAAGTGCTTGAACTACATCGCAGGTTATCGTGATGAAGTTTGCAGTGTAGATGTGTAAGAATTTTTGATGTGCACTGAGCTACTGAAGAATGTACGAAGCAATTGGAGGTGTTACGATTAAACTGGAAAAGTGTGCGAGAGGTTGTTATAAATCTGCTACTGATTTACTTGATTGTATACCAACGAAGTTTGAATTTGCTACGAGGGTGCATAGAAGTAACTCATCTGGTTCTGCTCACCCTGAGGATGAAAAAACACTACATTTTCAGTATACTGTATTTTATCATTAGTGTTTTCGACGATAAGATGGCCATTAATAGCTGATCGAGTGCTGATGGAGGATAATTTCATATTTTGCTGAGATTCCAAATAGATGTTAGTGGTTTTTGACGATTCATCTTCTGTTCTCAAAGGCAGCTTGAGTACTGGTCCAGCATGACTTTCCTTAGAATCTCGAGATAGCCGTTGCTAAGTCTTATCCGCAAGCAGTCGCCGGCGCTTGTGAATCCGAAGGATTTCTGCTAGTTTGCCCTTACGATCGTTCCAATAGGAAAATTATTTCTACGATTAGTCAGTTGATGAAGAATGATGCAAAAAGTGGGACCGTAAACTTTTATGTAATTCAGTCAACCATTTGTTCAATGATTAGTTAGCTTACAAGAAGTTGTCCCTAGTTTCAAAAATACCAATATTTTACCGGTATTTCAGAAAAAAATAGAAAATTTTGTGTTGAATTCTCTACATGTGGAAAATGAGGCCAAGATTCCATCGCATAGGCTTTGGTTTACTAATAAGCTTACGTGGTTTTGCAGAAATCTTGCTCTGACCAACGCTTTATTGCTATCGTTTTCTTCAGAGCAGCTATTATTCATATAAAGTATCAATATAAGTTTCTGCTTGCAATCTGGATCTTGGTAGTCGCGCTGAATGGAGATCCTAGGTGTAAAAGGAACATTGTGCCGAAAGGACAACTTAATGTTTTGTAATCTTACGTCAGCTCATAAGTCCGATTGGCCATGTCAAACTTAAATGGATGTGGTGTTGTCAACACATGTCACTCAATGTTAACTCTTTTATTTACTGCCTTTTTCTTCTTAATGGCAGGGTATGTTGTGAAATATAACTCGTATGAAGTGCTGAGATATTTGCAAAACTCCGGACCACAGGTGTATGCAGTGGGGAACGAACACGCGCTGTTGTCCTTACCGGGGAGCAGCACACTTCATCCTGGGCCGGATGGTGTAGTGGTGAAGTGCGCTGCTCCCCGGTAAGGACAACAGCGCGTGTTCGTTCTCCACTGCATACACCTGTGGTCCGGAGTTTTGCAAATATCTCAGCACTTCATACATGTCACTCATTTCACAGGAAAAAGATCTTCACCATAACGGTTGCGATCGAAGGGGTTACCAAGAGTGACCATGCATGCATGAGGTTCTTTCGAGAACTTCATTACCTCTGTTCGAAAACAATGTTCACGCTTTGAAATGGCACTATTGACCTTTCGTTGCGGCATCGCCTTTCCACTGACGACAAGATCTCGTCTCTTTACCGATGTTCATCTGTTTTCCCATATTTTGCCTCTTGTAGAATGATTACCCTCCCAACGGTTTACCGCCTCATCGTGGCTGGGAGGTGTTCTTGGGTGTCGGACTGTAATGTACAGCGGGGATTCATCCCAATGGCAGGGTCTCTCAAAGCTGAGGAGGAGACCGGCGTTTCTATCAGGAAGCCAGCTATCAGCTATCGGCTAAGAGTAAACCAATACTAGGATCCATTACCGTCCTGGTGTCAAAGTCGCATGCTGGAAAATTTCCCTCTTATCCATA